TAAACTGATAAAAATGCAGATAAACTATGCAACCACACCCTGAAGAAAACAATAATAAGATTAGCCAAACATTTTTAAATGTGATTTAGTCTTTTTGTGTTTTGAGTGTTAGGTCATGGGTTAGGCAAAGGCTCGAACTCTTATAACGTATTAAATCAAGTTTATTTAACAGATAAGTTTTTCAAGAAGAAGAATGTTGTCTAATTTAGGGGTTTTTAACCAAACCGCTGTCATAACGTGGTGCACAACTGATGTAAAACAAAAGGTGAAGATGAGATGAAATATTGAGAAATGTTCCCAGAATTAGCTTATTTCCTTGTCTAAAAAGTGCAAACATGTTATAAATATATTTTCTGTTGAGACAAAAAATCTGAACAGTTTTCCTCAAACAAGGGTTTTTACCTCCTTTATTTTTTTTTCTGTGTATATTTTCATATCCCAGTTTGATACAATGAAGGTTTTCTTATCATAAAACAGCTGATGAGCTTATTTTTATTTTGTTGTCAACTTGTGACATTTTATGTGTTGTTGTTTTTTTCATGTTTTTGTCTTGAGCGACTGTCACCTTGGTTATATGTATTAATTTGAATTGATCACTGTTTTCTAGAAGGACCTTTTTCAGCTTGTGTCAATAAATATTCTGAACCAGATGGTAATCCTCTCCAGCTCTAACCATTGCTTTTCTGTCTCCGCAGGTTCACCCAGCAGTATGTCTATCCTCAGGCGTTCCTCCAACCAAGCCTCCTGCTGCAGTCTCACCTGAGCCCCACAGCGACAGCTCTCACCTCCCCTTACCTGGAGTACAGCTCCGCCTACAGCCCCTACGCCCCATCAGGACTGGAGCATTACCCTTATGTCCCCTCCCCATCACCCGCCACAGGCTACCTCAGCTATAGCTTCTCTCCGGCTACACCATCTCCTGCTCTGACTGCTCCTCCAACCCCTCCAGCTGCCATTCATCCTCCTCTAGCCACACTCGGCACTGTGTCGGCCACACCGCCGACCTTCCTCCACTACCCCCTCCACCAGCCCGACCGAATGCAGTGAGCAGACCTGAGCGGGTTGCTCAAACTGCAGGCATGACGTATCAAAACACGGGGACTGCTGATTGGAGACATAGTGAGGAGTAGACTGGATGGAGGAGTCATTGAAAAAAGGGCTTTTTGAGAGATGTCTTTTTTTCTTGTTTTTATAAACCTTGGTGTTGCAGGGGATGATCACGATCGCCCTGCATTGTCGTCAGCACACACTGTGAATGTTTTCCAAAACTGCTACAATCCAGTTGAGATCAGTAAATTTTAAGATGCTTCTTTGTTGGTAGTCAGGCTGCAGGAAGAAACATAAAGTTCTTCTTCTACATCTTTGTGCCATGTTGCTGCAGCTGTATTTTCTTCAAAGGTACTGCACTGAATACTGGATTTCAATCTGTCTGAGAACCAGGTTCTGTGGGAAGAACAAGACGCAGTTCCCTCTGGTTCTAGGTTACCTTCCTGTCTGTGGCAGAGGATTTCTCTCTGTATCCAGTAATCTCATAGGTTCCTGTTATCTACTGCTAGGGTCTTCACACAATATGCAATTATGCTAAGAATATGTCAGCTTAAGGTAGGCAACACTGGCATTTGATGTTGTTGATGTTCTTTTCCTCGAGCAGTAGTTAGAGCACAACTCTGTCAGGCTTTAAAATCATTTAACCCTGTTTTTCTAGCTTCTTTTTAGCCTTTTTTACAAGTGACTAAATTTTCTTTCCTCTTTAGTCACCCCTGTCAATACAATTAAGTTTATTGCCCTCAACACCCACTCACAGTCTCTTGTAAATTTAAGTAATAAATCATACAATTACTCCATTTTTTATTTTAGTGTAATAAATTGTTGTTTAAGACAGAATCCGATAAAAGGAAATAATGGTAGTGCCCGACTTGTTGGAACCTCTAAATGTTATTTTTATATCACTTTTAAATAGGTTTATGTCTCCAAGTTTTAATCAATTATCTGTTGCTTACTGTTTCCATGTGGTTTAAATATGACACACTGACTTAAGTCATTTTATGGCACCAAGAGTTTAAACAAAATTATGATTTTGTGGAAAAGCAGCTAAAACCCACTGTTAGGCATGGTGGAGGATCTTTCATGGCAAGGGTGTTTTTCTTTTCAAAAAGCCTTTCAAAGAATTACACTTTTTTAAGTACCAGGGCCTTTTAAATGAAAACCGGGTGGAGCACACAAGAAAACAGAAACATGGGTGGGTCATCATGAGCAGATAAGACTGAAATTCCAGCTCCTACTACGGCTTTCCAAGTTCCACAACCTAAATCCTGCAGAAAACCGTTTGGCTGAACAGAGAAGACTGCACTGGGTGGATGCAGAGAACTGGATGATCTAAAGCAGATGTCTCAAACTACAATCATCAAGAGAGCTTGGGTCCAAACCCGTCCAAATTGTTCTGTTAATGACATAACTATTTGTTCAGTTTTCATTAAAGACACTGGTCTCCAGTGGCTGGATCCTAGGACCGTGAGATTGGCAGCAATCAAGTTACGATTATAGCCGGTGGTATCGGCAGTTTCAATGCATCTGGCACTAATTTAGACAATAAAATCTGAAATTTGTGTCTTTACTTAGTAAATACGCTTTGAGAAGTTTTCATTTTAAGTTTATGTAGGTTGAAATTGCATTAAAGATACTTTCTTTTTTAATAACCCTTTGCCTTTAAACGTGGAGGCCACTGGAAATGTGTTTAATTTAAGTGTTTGTACCTTTAATGTGTGAATGGGATTCAGTTCGGTGCAGTATGCTACCACTTGTACCATTGTCCTGTGTTCTTTCGCAGCATCATATTGACAGGTACATTAGAGATGATCATGGAGTCTCCTGGTGTTGCAGAAGTACCACCAGTCCTAGTGGTCTGAACCAAGCCATATGTTAGATTTTAAACAAATATGCAAAATAAATGACTGAATGTTTTAAAGGGGTGGCTCTCGCTGTCTTCTTAGTCACTGAATGTTTTTATCCAAATGCGTTTCAGGAGCCTGAAGTTAGTGTGATGTTTCACGTGATGGTGTGGGAATATAGGCCTGTAGGTTATGAATAAGTGCAAATAAACTTGTAAATAAACCTGTTATCAGGTTAATAAGTTGATATATAATTTTTTTTTTAATGGGAAGCCATGGTTTGGGAGGAGGTTAAAGATTTCTGGGTCCACCACTGGATGGAGAGCTCAAATGAACCCATCTTAGGCTTGGACACTTCCCTTTTTTAAAGGTCAGTTTTCCTTTTTGAAAGATTTGATTTTCTTCTGATTTACCCATTACTGCTTTGATAAGTTCCGGTTTCTCTTCTTTTAAATAATCAGTTTAATCAGATGTTCTCTCTATATGGTTTAAACACTAAAACCCTCCATGTAACGTGACTAGATCAGCTTTAGATTGAATTGCTGCATGACTTTTAGCAAGTAAATATTTTCTATAAAATCAGTTTCCTCTCATCAGAATTCTCAACAGTATAGGATAAACTTGTTTTATCCTATACTGTTCTTTCCTTTTTTTTTTCCCAGCAAAGGCTTTTTCACCCTTTTTCTTTGCTCTATGCTAAAGTTTAAAACAAATTTTTCTGCCGTACCACCAAAGCTTCCTGTTGTACATTTAAAAAAAAAAAGAAGCATACTATAATTTCCTTTTATATCAGGAAAATTCCATAAGAATTGTAAAAAATGATCCAATTTGTTCTGTCTGGCCATTACTTGTCTGATAATTTATTTGTTAAAATTGCTTAGAAACATTGTATTTTAAAGCACTAAAATGTTGTTTATGAGTGACAATATTCTCAAATTTGCAAGGACAGAATGAAACCGCCTCAATCACTGCTGCTTTGTCAGGTAAGGTTTGCCTTGCTGTATTTTAACAACAAAGTTTTGATTTAAAGTCATACAAACCCACCCCTATTCCCTAACATTTATTTTATATTTAATCGTATTGATTTATGAGTATTTTATCATAGTATATTATAAAAACCGACAGCTTATGCATTTTGTCTAGGGCTTTGTGTTAGTGCCCCCTTCTGGTCATTTCTTTTTACTGCACCTTACCTAATATGGATGCCTTCATTTTTGAAAGGCACACAACTTAATTGCAGAAACCTGAGCAAAGTGGAATATATGTTGCATGAAAAGGTACATGGTCAGTGTTGGATGGTTTAATGTTGAACTTCCAAAAGTTAAACTTTTTAGAACCACGTTTTGCCTGAATTACTGAAAATATTTGTGGGACTCATCTCTTTTCTTCCACATGTGGTGAAAATAAATTGTCTATTGTTCTTTGAAAACTAGTACAAGTCAGATGAAGAAGTTTTATGAACATTCATGTCTTACTTAAAATTGTCTGCTTAGGTTTCAGTCAGGATTTTGACGTCTCATACAGCGATATGATTGGATCTAACCCTTTTGATTTCTTTTAGGGCCTCTAACAGGTGTTATTACTGAATTATACCATATGTGTACCTTTATCTTCATTTCAAACAATGTCCTGCTTCACTACTCCTGTAGGTAGAAAGGTATCCCACAGCATGATTCTGCCACCACCATGATTCACTGTGGGGATTATATGATAAAGGGGGCATGTACAGTTTTAGTTCTCTCTCTCTTTATTGTTTTGTTTTATGTAGAACAACCAGCTTTACCTTGTTGTCTTTTGAATTTACTGATTCTATTTGGGAGGTATCAGGGTAAAGGGGCCTGAATGCAATGTAAAACATAATCTAAAACCTTTTATATTTTTATTTGTTTAAAATAAAAGTAACTGCTTTCATTTTACAATTATGTAGTATTTTTCGTGTGTAAATCTTTCACATAATATCCCAATAAAATACATTCAAGGTCTTTGGTTTTGTAAAGAAATGTAAAAAGGAAAAAAAAAATATGTTCATATTATTCAATTGAAAAAGGCACTTTCAATCCATATAAGCCTCAGGTTTAAAAAAAAAGAGCCAACATTTGTATAGTTTTGATTTTTATGCATTTTTTTTATTGAAACACCTTGTTCTCCCAGTTTAAATCAGACCAAATATCTGGGATACAACATCTGTTGTGGATAATGCTGGTTCAGAACAAAAAGCAAATGGTTTATGTAAAAATGAATATTAGAGCAAATAACTGTCAGACAGCAAACAGGATGGGAGAGGAGAAATGGCATGGCAAACTAAATACGGGCAACAGTACAAAACAGAACAGAGGTTATGAAAATAAAAAAAAAAGAAATATTGGATCTGCACACTTGAAAACACAAGTAAGCAGATAAACATGTGCTCACCTGCAAACATGCTCACATACAGGAACAGCCGCGCCCACGCACTCACTCTCTCACTTTCTTCCTCTCTACAACAAACACACAACCTACAGATAAAATGTGGTGATTAAATTGATTGAAACCCTGTGAAAATCAAAAGGTAGTTTACATCCACATCTTGTGTCCAAAAGGGCAGGAAATAAAATTAGAAAATATAAAAAAAAGAGATAAGCTTAGATGATTAATGAAAAGCAAGCCCATCTTCACTGATCTAACCCAACCTAAAGATTACAGGTTTCCATTTCTCTGTCGTTCTCCAAACCCTAATCCCACTTAACTCCCATCTCTATTATTCCCTCTCACCCTTCATCACCTTCATACTCCCCCCTTCTCCTCCACACTGCTCTGTTTGGGTTACCGGGCAGCAATGGAGAGAAGAGAAGGTGAATATTGGTTAACATTTCTAAAAAGCACCATGTCCTATGTGGATTACAGTTATAAAGCTGTGGGGGGTTGAGGACTTTTGTTGTGTGCTGAGGTTGAAGGTGGCAAATCTATATTTTAGATTATCTGTAAACATTTTGGGTTAGTCTTGTACACTGAAGCGTGTGAAGACACGGGGTCGAGGGGGAACATTTGAGGTGGGGGTCAGCATAGCTTAGGGATCTGTCCCTCACCCCTCCTTTCAGAGAAAAGGGACTGGGCCGGTTTATAGGGATTGCGTTTTGAGCTCGATCGGTTCCCCTCGAGTGTCCTGCTGAGCCTCACTCTCCGGGGGTCGACTTCCCTTCAGTGTGGCCAGGCGCTCGGAGAGACCTCTCATACGTGGGAACAACATGAAATCATACAGGATGGCTCCCATGGCACCCCCAATCATAGGCCCAACCCAGTACACCTGCAGGTAATACAATTTGAATTGTCAACAGAAACTCTGGCCAGTCATTCTTCAATGGAGCAAAAATAAAAGTTGAGCTCTTACCCAATGGTTGATAAAGTTTCTGAAGAGCACCGCAGGGGCAAAGGACCTAGCAGGGTTCATTCCAGCACCAGTGTAGTACATCTAAAACACAAACATGAATGTGTTAAAGTACATATGTGCCCATAACTTTGTAGTGATTGAACAGTTTTTTCCACACTTCTCACCCCCATGAGATGCCCAACAGTGACAGAGAAACCAATAGAGAGAGCTGCTGATCCCAGGCGACCGTTTCTCCTCTCATCTGTCACTGCGAAGATGCAGACAACGAGCTGAAGGGTAAGAAAGACCTCCACTGTTGTGGCCATCCCCAGGCTCATGCCAGGCTGCAGCTGGAAGCACAAAAATGAAAGGGGCATGAAATCTGTGAAGCCTGAAAACAAGCTGATAACACATAGGATACAGTCATCAACCTTACAACCCTCATTCTCCAACACTAAACCTCTATATTTACCATGTTCATTGCCATGTTGCCTCTCATGTTGCCGGGTGTGACCCCATACAGGACTGCAGCCCCAGCCACGGCCCCCAGGCACTGAGCGAAGATATAAAAAAATGCACGGAAAAGGGACATCTGTGACCCGACAAGGTAGGCGAAGGTAACTGCAGGGTTGATGTGGCCGCCACTGATGTGGCCAATGGACTGGATGAGGGTGGCGGCCGCCAGACCAAAGCATAGGGCCACGTGAAGGACGTGATGAGGCCCGGTGGTCCAACGCAGGGCAGCACCCATGCCAAAAAATACAAAGAACATAGTCCCGAAGAACTCTGCAAAGACTGCCCGCCAAAAATTCATGGACCGGAACTCCCACATGGTGGATGCTTGAGGAGGGGTGTTGGTGATTCAGAGAAAAAGTCACAAGTTTACCTTTTCAGTCCTTCATAAAATGGTGGAAACAACAAAAAAAGTCTTCTTTTGGATACCAGCTGACTAAAACAGCCACTTGAGATGTGAGTCTGGAGTCCGATGATCTTTACCAAACTGTGATCTGGGCTGGTAAAGTCAACTCAGCTGCTTGCCACCTCTCTCCACCTGTCGCAAAGACATAGGTGTGAGATAATAAAGCAATTCTGAGATGCTTTGATTCTTCAAAAGTAGGTGGGCATTAATGCTAAATGGGGGATTCTATATCACAGATGGGGATAGACGGATTCTCCAATGGACCTTTTAGCCTCTGTGACGGAGGGAAGGGGGCCAGACGGGCGCTTTATAAAACCCCCTCTTTGGGGCCCTCTGGTGACGCAGTAATCCCTTCGTTAGTCCGAGGGGTGGGGAGGGGTGGGGTACTGCAGTGCTCGACATCCTGATTCAAACGTACCTAACCCCTTTGTTGCCTGTCTCCCTCCACCCCCCACCAGAAGCACTAAAGTGAG